TGACCAAGAAGGAGGTGCAGGACCTGCTCACTCAGCACCAGATCCCCTTCACCATCTTCTACACGGGTCTCTTTGCCGAGTTCCTGCCCTTCTTCCTTGGTTACCACTACGACGAAGGTTACATGAACGTGGTGGGCAAGGGCGAGACGGCCTTCAGCATCACGGCGCGTACGGACGTGGGTCGCTTCGTGGCGCATGTGCTGTCCACCGCCCCCAAGAGCGCGCTTGAAGGTGCCAAGATCCCGTTCGAGGCCGAGCGTCTGTCGCCTCTGCAGATCCGCGACCTGGTGGAGAAGAAGCTCAACAAGAAGATCGAGGTGCGTCACGTCGACTACGAGGAGAACAAGAAGAAGTTCGACACGGACTTTGCGGCCTTCCTCACGACCCTCTTCGAGGAAGGTCGTGGTGTGGCCGGCACGGAGCAGGAGGTACAGGAGAGCGTGGCCAAGTTCTTCCCGGACTGGAACCCCGCCAAGTACGAGTCCTTCATCGCCTAAGCTAAGTGAATACACTGTGAATTCAGCTGGTGACTCCGTATTCATATTCCCCTTGTTTTATTAATCGAAATTACCCATCAGATTCACACGAGAATATTACAAACTTGGTACGCTTGATTGCCGTCGAGCTATGTCGTGCCATTTACGCTTTTCCCTTTTTACTACGTAGTAAGATGTTGGAGGAATGCCTGGCAAACTGCCTCTCTTTGGTCTTCATGGAGGCCCATACGTTGTAGAATGAGGAAAGCATGCAGCATTTTAAGTGGCAGTGTTGGTATGAATGACGCTCCCGTGGTGTAGGGGCATGCCTCGAACCAAGTGCATCTACGGTTGTACTCACTTTGCCGTGGGCAGAAAATGGTTACAGCTGACCGAGTGATGAAAGCTTAAATTACTGCGAAATATAGACCCAACGAAAACGCAAGGTGAAATTGACCACCTTATGATACAAGAAATACATGTTTTTGCTGCGAGACGGCATCTGTGTATGGCCGATACTTTACCTAGCTTAGTAAAAAAAAGGACACTCGTCTTGTATACGTTCGACACACAGAGCGTGAACACTGCATATTGAGTGCTTAGAAAGCTGGACGCGATGGGCTGCAAAGGCGACTTCTGATCCATGTTGTCTTGTGTCGCCTCTCCGCCTGCAGCGCTTGAATTGTTTGGGCCACTTCATGTTGAAAGCTGCTAACATCTCGCTTGTGTCTTCTTTGTATCATCGTTCGCCCAATTCTTCTGTTGGGATTTTTATCAACACGATAATCCCGTTCGTTCCTCTTGCGAGAGTTTATGATAAAACCACGTGGAGATAATTGCCGATGGTCACGGCTACTTGGCAGTTGTCCGTCACTCTCAGATCCACTACTTTCGTTATCGGCCTCGACTTCATTGCCACTGTAGCTGCTCGTTACTTTTATCCACCGTTTTCTATTTAGCTCTTGCGTTCTCTTGGTCCCTATCCGACACCGCTCTGGTATCTTCCCATAACTTTTATCCTGTGTACAATAGGCGCCCTCGCTAACCTCTCTTTCGTGGAGATGCTTATGTGGTTCTTGAGCTTTCGGTGCGCTTGCTAGACGATCAAATTCGTCCACGTTTTGATTTTGTGCTACACTGCTGAAGTGAGGATTCCCACAATTCTCCACCCCCATACGTTGCTCCATAGATGCCACCAAGCGGTTCAAAGACTGGTTGTGCCAGAGTTGATCATGGAGACTTCGTCCCTCATCGATCCAACCTTCCACATCGTCAATGGACGTAAGACCCATCACTCGTCGCCTTGCAGTCTCTGCATCTTCCTTTTCACGCTGCGCTCGCTCATTTTCAATTTGCTGGTGCAGTTGCTTCCGCTCTAGCTCTTCTTGTTCTCGTTGTTGTGTCTCCTTCACCTCGGCAGTTTCCTTCGTATCAATAGCTAGAACGTGTCTAAGTTTGAGCATAGTAAGATCCAGCTTCTCTACAACTTGTCGCTGAACTACTTCCTCGAAAGAATCTCTATTCTCTACTGGCGCCACGCCAATTGCGTTATCTTCGGCTTCCTCAGGAGGCTTGCCACTGTCTTGCCTTTCCGAAGTTATAAGATCGATATTGAGGTTGTTTTGGACCCAATCAACATTTCGCCACGAAATATCAACATTTGTGTCGTCTTTTTCCTCCTTGAATGACGCTATTGACAGTTTTGCTTCGATCTCTTGAATTTTGCGCTCGGTGAGGCTTCGTAATGTTTTGATCTCTGCTTCCACTGTAGATTCACGTTGAGTTGATATGTCTACTCTTTCGAGCTGTTGTAGTACATTTTCAATGTCAGCTGAACACGTTAGTAGTTTACCACGCATAGGTATTAACCGGAGTATCTCCATTTCACGCTCCTTTGTCTCTTTCTCTTCGGCCTTCTTCTTTTCTTCCGCAGCTCCTTTCTCTTTCTTCTCCGCTTCTTTCGCCGCAGCAGCGGCGTCTTCCTCGGCCTTCACGTCGGCTTTCCGTCGCTCTGTCATGTCTGCAAACGTTAGATCCAGTTGGGATACGATCGTTTGGGTGGCAGACT